CAGGGCCAGACGGGGGGCGGGGCCGAGGGGGCCGGGGGTGAGGGTGGTCGCCATGGTTACCCGGCGCGGCCCGTGCCTCAGGCCTCGGCCTGGAGACCCCTAATACGCCCTGGGGCCCCCAACACAGCCTGGGGACCCCCACCATGGCCGGGGGACCCCACTATAGCTTGGGGACCCCACCACGGTCTAGGGACCCCTAGTATGCCATGGCCCCCCCCCCCAACCTGGAGACCCCACTATGGCCTGGGGACCACTAGTATGGCCTCAGGACCTCTGCCACAGCCTGGAGACCTCCACTGTGGGGACTCCCCAACACCCCCCCAGTGCCCTGGGGATCCCCACCACGGCCTGGGGTCCCCACTATGACCTGGGGACCCCTGCCATGGTGTGAAGGACACCCTGGCCTGGGGGACCTCAGGCACTCAGGGGCATCTCAGCACGATGACAGCCAGCGCACCTCGCCCCTGCACAGGGGACAGGCAGAGCTGGCTGGGGGCACAAGCAGGACAGGGCAGGCAGGAGGTGCCCCGGGGAGTTCCGGGGTTTCTGGAAATTTCCTGCCGGGTGAGTCACCTCGAGTCGAGGAGCCACACAGGGCTGGTCAGCACTTCTGGGAAGCGAAACTGGCCCCAGGAAACCACCCCAACAGCCCGCGGCAACGCAAGCCCAGCCACGCACTTCCCTGGCCCGGCCAGCATGGTGCAACTGCTGGCAGCCCAGCTGGACGTGGGGCATCCTGGGAAGTGGGTGTGCTGCTTGCTGGGGGGTGACGAGGTACCGCATCTCCCAGGGTGGGCACAAGGGACTGGGGGGACAGTGAGGTCCTACAGCCTCTGATATAGGGATGGTAGAGACAGGAGAGTTGATGGAGAGGGCCCAGACAGCCACAGTGCTGCAAAGCCATGGGCCCGGGCGGCACAGGAGGAGGCTGTGGGGAAATGGCAGAGCAGCAGTGCTTGCAACACTGGCCCCTTCCGGGGCAGCCAAGGTCCCCAGCTCTGACGAGGATGGGCATCATTGCGGCCTCGGTGGGATGGGACTGCGGCTGAGGCAATTCCTGCTGGGTCAGCCCGGCTGCCAAGGGCCGAAACACAAGCATCGGCCTCACACATTGTCCCCAAGTATCACCCCTGCTCTCTGCCCCACACCCTGATCCCCAAGCATCACCCCTGCTATCTGCCCCACACACTGACTCCAAATATCACCCCTGTTCTCTGCCCTCTCACCCATCCTGAAGCATCACCCCTGATCTCTGCCCCACACACCAACCCCAAAGCATCCCCCCTACCCTGCCTCACACACAACCTCAAAGCATTGCCTCTGCTCTGCCCCAACACAGCCCCTCCCACAGCCCCACAGCACTGCTTGGGGGCAGCCAGCCCCCCAGCCCTCCCAGTCTCACTAGAGGAACTGAGCAAACCCATTGCGAAAGGTGGAAATCCCGCCCTGACAGTGCTTCCTTCCAGAGAATCTTGAAAACCCGGCACACAGACGCCAGACTCAGAGAGTGCCCAAGTAACGCTGCAGGCAGGACAGGCAGGAGCAGGCAGCCAAGTGCCACAGTACTCAACAAGTACCGACAGGTCTCTGCCCGGGCTTTTCCAGTCAGCAGTGGCGATGGCATTCGTCCCCGATTTAGACACACTAGAGAGCAGCAGGTAAGTGTGGCTGTGCCAGAAGGGACACTGGGGACATGATGCCTCCCTGGTACCATGGTGGCCCTGGCTTCACCATCTCCCTTTGCCTTTCAGCCTGAACGAGGAGACATTTTATGACCCTGACTGCATCTGCCTGCAGAAGGTAACACAGGGGTGGTGGGAACAGTGAGGTCCCCATGATGGGGAAGCTGGGCTCTCACCCCACATCCTGAAGCCAGGCTCTCACCCCACGTCCCCTTTCCTTCCCAGAAACCTTGCCTGGAGACAGAGGTGACATCACCCGGGGTGGACATCCAGGTCACCGTGACCAAGGAACACCCTGCCAGGAACTTTCGCCGGGCCGCCATCCTTGTGGTTGCCATGACCAAGCTCCTGAAGCAGCCAACGCACAAGGACTTTGCTGACAGTGACCTTGCAGGCTTTCTGGATGATATTTTTGGTAAGGGGTGGTGGTGGTTGGGGTGTTACCGCAGCTGGGGGAAGCTCTTGGGGATGCACTTGGACCTGGGAGCATCAGCATACCCCTGACCATCTCCCTTCCTGCAGAGCCTGTCTCCTTCCAAAGGGTTGAGAGCAGCTACGCCAAGGCGCCCGTCTACCGCTACACCCGGTCCCAGTCCTTCGACATCCTTGACATAGACCAGAAGTGCTTTGTGCTGGAGTCACCCACCCAGCTGGTGGCCCTGCACCTTCAAGGACCTGATGGTGGGCGGAAAGGTGAGGGGACACAGTCCCAACACAATGTCCCCATCCCCAACCCTGGGACCACCCAGGAGACACCCCAGAACCCCAAGACCACTTATTAACCCATCTCCTCTCTCTGCAGTGAAGCTCAACATTGCTCTGTACCGACCCCGAGCATCACAGGGTGGCCCAGGGACTGGGCGGATGCCAGTTGCACTGGGCATCAAGGGCTTCCAACTATACATGTCATGTGTGATGAGTGGTTCTGAGCCTGTGCTGCAGCTGGAGGTGAGTTGGAGGTCCCACTGGCTCCATCCCCCATGAGGAGAAGGGCTCCATCCCACCCTTAACCCCGTTTGCCCCACCAACTTTAGGAAGCCGACATCAGGAGGGACATCGAGAGTGTGGAGCTGACCCGCTTCATCTTCTACCGCTTGGACAGCCCAAACGAGAGGACCACGCGCTTCGAGTCGGCTGCCTTCCCTGGCTGGTTCATCTGTACCTCCCTGCAGCCCCGCCAGCCCGTTGGCATCACCAACCAGCCTGACCAGGTCAACATTGCCACCTACGAGCTGAGTGGTCACTGAGGGGCCCCTGCGCCCAACCAAACCCAACCGGCAGTTGCCGGTTTTCAGGCTGTATGTACCGAGTACAAACCCCCACACTGGCACCCCCATCCTCCCCATCTATTTCATGTGAAATAGCAGCTCTGGGCCCTGTGGGTCTGAGGCACCCCAACTTATCCCTATTTATTGTGTCTATCCCTTGCTTTTAACATATATAATTTTACTGGAAATATTGTGGTATTGTTATCAAGAATGGGGGTATTTGTTGATAATGAAAATAAAAGGTTTCCCAGGATGGTGTTGCTCAGTTCGTTGCTCTCACAGGGGTTAAGTGATGTGGGGGTAGCTTATGGATGGGAAAATCCAGCTGTTTCGGCTGGTTTGTGGGGTCTCCACGCCTGGGTGCAAAGCCCAAGGGGTACAGGGTGGCCTCACACCCCTGGGACCCACTCCACACCCACAGGCCCCCCCCAGACCTGGGACCACCCCATCCCCATCCCACAGTGCAGCTGGGGGCTGGGGTGGGCAGCCCAGGAGTAAGGGTCACCCACAGCCCCCAGCAGCCCCCCGGGGCTGCCACCGCTGTCCCAGCCCCTACCACCACCTCCCAGTGTGCTGTGGTGGGCTGTATGTAGCATGACATGACATCATACAGCACGGCATTCCACGCGACACCGGCCCACGCTAACTGACGGAAATCGGCTCTAATTAACGGGGCAACCGCCGCCCGCCCTCGCCACGCCTCCGCCACACCAGCCACGCCCTCTATACGCCCCGACCACTCCCCCAGCAAGCAGTAAGCCCCGCCCCCTCTCGGCCCTTCTCCCCGCCTCGTCCCGCCCCCCCTCACTCAC